GCAGTTGTCAAAATATAGAAATGTCAATTTCTTAGGAATTTTCCTGAGTGAAAGTATTGATACTTAAAGCTCTTTTTTTTAATGTATTTTATTGATTTTTTACAGAGAAGAAGGGAGAGGGATAGAGAGCCAGAAACATTGATGAGAGAGATCGATCAGCTGCCTCCTGCACGCCCCCCAGTGGGGATGTGCCCGCAACCAAGGTACATGCCCTTGACTGGAATCGAACCTGGGACCCCTGAGTCCGCAGGCCGACGCTCTATTCACTGAGCCAAACCGGTTCGGCGATACTTAAAGCTTTTTAAAAAAAATCGTATCTCTGCTTCACTAAGTACCTGAGAGACTAGATTTTCTATTTTCTGAATTTTCTTATTCCTTTTATTATATTTTCATCTGTACTCCAACCCCTCTGTGTTCTGTCTTTTCCATGTCCTGAGGATTTTTGTTCCAATATTAACACCCTGCACTCCTACATAAACAGCTGAGGCCTTATCCTGCTATCTTCAAAATGTATAAGTTATTTCAAAGAAAATTCTCGTTCTCCTGTGTTCTTTAATGTTATTTCTCTCCTTTATTTCATTCTTTCCTTGGAGGAGCTCATCCTTTTCATGACTTCATTCATGTCCTCTCTCCACTCCATAGTACTCATGTTGCCTTCTCATCAACACTCCATTTTCCTATGACCTTCCCTTTATTTGGAGATGTTTATGTTTTTGAAACTTTCTCTGACATTTTCAGTTATTATTGATCTATGTCCTCTTTTTCTGAATTTCTGTGACAAATTATAATCTGAACTACTTATTATATAGTACCTGATCACACAGTCTTTAATGGGTGCCCTAATTGTTTCAGCAACTGAATTAGAACCTTCTTGAGGGTAGGGACCATATGCATATAATGACACTCAATAAATGCTTATGTATGGATCGATTATCTTGTTTTATTTACAGATCTGAAGCCACTGTTTATCTTGGGAGAATTCAGACTTTTATTTTGGTAGCCATTTGTGTATAAATAATGGGACCAAGTATAAGTGATTAAGTAAAGTAGGTCTGACAGGACTTCTGACAAAATCTTAAAACTAGTACTTGAAGAAGAATATGGTAAAATACAGAAGATACTCTAGGAATTCATGTACATTATAAAAATAGCTGTTATAGTTCTGTAGGTGGGCAGTATTAAAGTTCTAATTATTAAAATACTAGATATTGGTCATTGGTCTAGTATTTATATTTTTAGCACTTATATATTTGTATGTGACTATTATCAACACTTAAAAAATAAAATTTCTCATGGAAAATGATATGGAGTCTTACATTCAGATCCAAAGATATCTCTAAGGTACACATCTTACTAACACACGTGTTGCTTTAATTTGGCCATGTCTCTTCTCCTCGAAGTTCCTGTACTCAGTAGTTTTAAATTTCTTTACAGATGTTTCTATACTTTGAAGATCATGGACTAGTGACATGCTCTGCTGATCATCTCATTATTTTATGGAAAAATGGAGACCGAGAATCTGGATTGCGCAGTTTAAAATTATTTCAAAAATTAGAGGAGAATGGTGACTTGTATCTTGCTGCCTAGTTTAAGGAATTTAGAATACATGTGCATGAACTTGAACATCAAATATAGGGTAATACTCTGAAAACCATTAACATGTACTCACTTAAATGTGTAATGTATTTTTTTCTTGTTACTTTATAAAATTCTGATTGTTTGAATTCTTTTTTGGGGGGAGGGCATGCAAACCAGCAACAAGTTGCTTCTTAGGTGTGAGTACACCCACCAAAGAATATACCACAAGTATTTTAGCAGTGAATTTTCAAAAGTTGAAGTTTTCAGATCACAATACAAGTATCTGTTGATACAGAATGAAAGTATACCATAGTGTCCTTACAGACAATTTAAAAAATTTATGCTTTAGAAAATTTTACCCCAGAAATTATGAGCTTGTGGTAAATGAGCATAGTACTCAGAACCTCTTTCTTTAGTATAATTTTATTACCTCTAATTCAATTCTTATTCATCATTAGATTTTTTTTAAGTTGCATATAGTTTCTTTCATTTAGTCTTTGGATTTTTGAATACCTTTGTTCTCAAATGAATAGCTTACGTATCCTTTTTCATTTCTGTAAAATTTTATTTAAGGAAATAAGTATACATGATAATTATAGAAGGTGTTTTGGGAGGAAAAACCCACTGAGGAAGAGGTAGGATGTAGCATAACTTGAATGTAACTTGAGCTCTCCCGAGAACTTTCTTCCCTGTAGGAAATGGAGAGTGCATAATTGCACATATGCTGCTGAAGCGGTGAGTGCTGTTCTGAGGTTCAAACAGAACAGTAAAGTTGTGGTTTTAATTATAAGCTTTTTATTCTTTGGTTATCATTAGAGCCCATTTGATTAAGAATCCTTGTGATAAATTTAAATATATCCTTTCTCTTATAAATTCCTCTCATCTTTAATAACTAATTATCAAGGTTCTATAGAGCAAATTTAAATCTCTGGTGCCAACTAATTTGTTAAATCATTTTTTATTTTTAGTTCTAGCTACTAAAATTCCTATAAACTCAAATCAGTAGGAATCTTAATGAGGATGTATTTTTCTCCTCAGTGTGAATTGGCCTGAAGAGCTATTGGCTAGATTGGTACTACACTAGCCGCTGCCCTCTTACATGCCAGGGGTGAGAGCTTGGTGAGTAAAGTGTTCCAGTCAGAGACGGCAGTCCAAAGTGCCTGGTTCATCTTACCATTGACTCAGAAATGAAATGCTTGAGACAGGCTTCACTTAGGTAGTTTCTTGCAGTGGTCACTGAGATTTAATCATCTTCATCAGCTTTATATCAGAGCACTCTTTCTCCCTTTTGGTACTAAAGGATAAAAATTAAGAAGTGTTCCACACATTAAAAATGGGTGAGTTTAGTAGTGGAGTTATTAAATTTAAACTGTTGATGAAAGAATTCTAGTAAAGTAAGTGCAAGGTGACGGATGTGTCAGAGGACTGATCCTTCTCAAAGAACACTTTCTGCAGACTTATTCATCACACACACACTCTTGATGGAATCTTTATAAATTGTTTTTACTAGTTTTTACCTTTGACAGTTGCTTTCACAACTGCCTCCAAAGACCGGAAGAGCTAAGGTTATCTATGCCAGACCAGTGCCATAATGTTATGAATGAGAAACCTGAGGCCCAGAGAGGTAAGGCCTTGCAATGTGTTAGCTCTGTTCCCTTATCATCGAGCGGCATTAAAGACAAATCAAAGATACTTACATGACTACCATGTGAGGAAAAGCAAATAATGTTCAGTTATTTTTTAATTTATAATGAAAATAGCTTTATAGAGAAATATATTAAAATCTGTTCCCTCCATTACAGAATAGAAGAACGTGAATGTTATCCAACAACTTGTTATTTGTGGCATATTTGCGGAATTGCAGAAATAGCTTTCTAATCTTTTATCCTGAAGGTGCAGCATGGTTACTATCCCAACACCAGGCAGACATGCATTCTGGTCTGAGTGCATCAGATGATTGATCAGTTTGATTAAATATCTCAGAATCATTTTTAGGCTTTAATATTTACTTCATTACTAGCTAGCGGTTTTTCTTTGGAAATTTTACATTAGATCGTGAGTTTGTAAAATTGTTTTCTATGACATATTCTGTGAATTATATGAGAAACTCATCATTTTTAACTGCTTTATTTCCTAATCTGTTCTGGGTTAGTCATTTGTGATAGTATTCTGTTCACATGGAGTGATACAAACCACAGGTGAGTTTTGGGAGCCAATACTACCAGGGCAAATCGATCTATTACATACTCTAGTTAGTTTTCTGCCATAAAAAAACTCCTGTGTCTAGAGCAGCAGTTCTCAACCTGTGGGTCGAGACCCCTTTGGGGGTCGAAAGACCCTTTCACAGGGGTCGCCTAAATACATCCTGCATATCAGATATTTACATTACGATTCATAACAGTAGCAAAATTACAGTTATGAAGTAGCAACGAAAATAATTTTATGGTTGGGGGTCACCACAACATGAGGAACTGTATTAAAGGGTCACGGCATTAGGAAAGTTGAGAGCCACTGGTCTAGAGGGAAGCCTCCAACCCACTCACTGGACTGGTTTTTGCTTTCATGAATGCCCTAAATTTAGAAGAATACAATTATGTACATTTTTTTTCCATCTTAGTTTTTAATGCTATTTTAGTTGCAAGTAACACTATGTAGTGTGCCTTATTAACCTCATTCTCTGGCTGTGTTCATAGCACAATCAAAAGCCTAAACTTTGGAGTATCCCTTTTATTTCTCTTCAAGTGAGGTTCTGATTGAATGGGTAAGGCTTGTTCTTTGCCCACAAGACTCCTGAAGGCAAGCAAATTTTAAATTGGAAGTAAAGAATGATTTAAATTATAGGGTTGTTTGTTCTGGTGCAAATAACCTAACTTTTCCTTGTGGTTAAGTAGTAGTAATATGACTTCTCTTTGTATTAGATAGGATTGCATTTTCCTAAGTTAATATAGCTCCCCTCAACACAGAATGTTTTAGTAAACAACTCAGGATAGGAGGCAATTATAATAGTTTATATCCATCTGAAAGACCACATCACATTTCTAATAAAATGACTATTTGGAGGAATGCATTATTTAGGTAGAAACTCAGATTACACAATAGCAGATTACATGCACTGATAAAGAGCAGAACTATTTTGAAGCTTTAGTACCTGGCAGTCTTAAAGAATTTGAGTTAATATGAAATTAATTTGACATTCCACTGAATAAGCTGCAACATTCATATAGAAAATGTGACGCAGCTGATAAATGTTTCTTACTTACCAAATGTAACTGAAAGAGAGATGGTCAGGAAAAGATTGTCCTCGCCTCAAGCAAGCTTCTGAAGCCTAGGCAAAGTATTTAGCTCCTTAAATGGGATTCTGATACCCTGAATTCTGAAAACAAAGTGTATGACTCATGAAATAAAGGACACTAAACCGAAAATTTGAAGTTATGAAAAACTTAGGTCAAAAGGAGGTACAATAAAAAATAGCTGTTGGAAATGAAAAATGGCTGTAAGAATTTAGTTACAAGTATCTCACAAAAACATTTTCATCATTTACATAATGCAGCATTATAATACAATGCTAGCTGCTGTCCTGACCAAGCAAGTTTTCTTACCTAAAATAATTTAGATATACTTCTTTGCATGGAATTGTCATATATGTTTCCATTTTTGGTATAAAACATTAAAAAAATATTGGCACATTATGTAGTGATAAGACATTTTTTTCCCCATGTACTAATTCCAAGTGTTCTGCATTCCAATTTTTGTTTGAAAAAAGTAACTACTGATTCAGTTAATTCAGTCTCTGTTTATACCTCTTAAAAATGCAGCATGGAGTACAAAGAATTTGGAAGAAAAATGAAGATATTTTGTTTACTGAGTTTATAATACATAGAGAAGGGTTGACTGATAAAAGAAAGGAAAAATACTCAAGTCCGACTTCATGTAGATCACAGAAAGTTGTGAAAAGAGCTGTATAAAAATATGCACTTGTGCTTTAGAAGCTTTAGCATACAATTAATAGTATTTACTGTTTCCCCATATGTCTATTTTCTAATATATTTACACATCTTGCAATATTTTTACATCATTAAAGGAAAATGGCATGATTGCAAATACAGATAGGTTAAAAATATATGAACCTTGAAACTTCCCAAATCCCCTCCCCAAATATATACGTAGAGATGGTACATGGTACAACATACTTGATTGACTTATATCCAGAAAATTTAGATTTCATAAAAATTTTCAACAGCAAATGTATATAAATTTTTTCTTTTTTTAAAAAAGCTTGTCCAAGGGCATTCAGATTTAATGGCTTTTATATTATACTATAGTGCCTTGTGACTGCCTCTGATAACCAGAAATAAGGGGATCTCATAGAGTCCCCCAAAACAAAATGTCACTCCCTTCCCCATCATGGATGGCTTTCTGTTAAGATGAATGCCTTTTATAGGAGAGAGGGATATAGGCAGCTACTACCAGTCTAGAAGGCACTCAACAGGACAAGGCTGGGTTCTAACTTGGGTGTCATAACATCAATCAGAAGAAACAGCCAGTGAAGCTAACTGGTTTATCAATAATTTGGTCCTAGTTTTTCATTTTATATATAGTTTCTTTTCTTAGATAGTATGAATCCTCCAGACCAAAGCTCTTGAGGAAAATAGTCAAGCTAAACAGTGATGGTGATTTTTATGGTAAGATATGAGCTGAACTATCTAAACTACTTGGTCTCCATCCAGGGAGATGGGCTCAGAGGCACCAAGTCTGTGCTGTGTATGTCCTGCTAGTTACAGTCATTCATCTCCATGGTTGATAAGGGCACACAGGGTGACAGCATGGCAAAGGGTTTTGCCATGTATTTGTTCTGTCACTGCTTGTATAAAGAACATATCTTTGTAAAAATAAAATCTGGGGACTTGATTCAAGGTCAAATATTAAACATTAGCTCCTTGACCTACACTTGTCATTTTCATTATAAAGGAAAGCCTCTCGTTTACACTGCTGGGATTCACATGCCCTTGACAGAAAGAGGTCCCCTTCTCTGTCTTGGCTTCAGCTGTCAGATGGAAGCCTCAGACTTTTGCACTTCAGGTCATCTAATGTCTTCCAGTGTTTGTAGTTATTGGCCAAATGTTGCATCAGTGCTGGCAGATGTGCAAAGGCTGCAAGGACATAAAAGAATCAAAAGAAGCTTGTTAAGTTAGATCCCAGGGCTCTGTGGGACGAATTTGGGATCAGAATTGCAGGAGAAGTACCCTAGTTTAGATCTTAGGCTGCATGTGAACACATAGCATTAGTTTCTGAAATACAAATAGGTCCTTTTAATTAAAAACTGAAAAGCCATTACTAAAAGAATTGTGATTAAGGGTAGACTTTTAATACATTTTGTATTCTTTCTAAAGTTTTTTCCAATGCTAGAATAAAACTGCTTTAAGCTTTGGAAGAGGTCCTTTGAAGAGGTAAAGACTTATTTATCCATTTATCAAACATTCACTGAATCTTCTGTACACAAGCACCCTACCATACTTGGCCACGGGCAGCTGACTTAAAAAAAAATACACAAAACATTTCATTTATATCTTTAGGCCCAGTCTATGTTGTTCAAGGTAATTATAAAGGATAATATTTTGTGTAGATGACAAAACAAGAACTATCTTACCGTCCCAAGCATCGAACATGTCTGTTATGAAGTAGTCAATGAAGGAAATTTGTGACTTGGGGATGCTACAGGTATTCCGGTCAAACACTGGCATCACCACAGGCAGTCCCTGTCTCTTCTCTTCATCAGTCTGTAAGACAGAACACTCACAGGGCTCTAAGGCACACACGGAACGGTTACAGTGCGACCTAGTGTCTCAGAACAACCCTGTGAAAATAGGTCATCATCCAGTCATATGTATGAAAAAATAGGCTCAGCAAGGTTCTGGGGTATATGTAAGTCAATTACCTGATGAGATGCAGTAACTCAATTCAGGTCTTCCGACTTTCAAGTCTCTTATGCTATACCACCACCCCTCCTGAAGCATCGATCATCTCGAGGTTCATACCCCCATTTCTGAGATCTATTTTCACTATTGCAAGACTATTTTCAAAGTAATACTAATAACACGAATAATATGAATTGACATTTACACTGAGAGTACAGAAGCAATGATGGGTAAAACTGCTGATACCTTAGCATAATTGTATCACCAGTCATTGTATTATTCACTGTCACCTACTTGCAGTTTAAAAAGAAAGCCAGTTTTACTTAAAAACATCCTCACTGAAGCAGTAAGAATTAAGCTTTCTAAATTTGGACCTTTGAATTACATCTTTTTAATACTCTGTGACAAAATACTCATAAGCCCTTGTGCTGCATTCCACACGTTGCTGGTTGTCTTGTGGGAAAGCACGCATGCAGTCCAGCTGAACCAGCCTTTTTTCCTCAGGGAAAACTATTTTTACTTGAAAGAGTGATTGACAAGCTAGGTTTGTGTACCAGATTTGGATATTGGCCATGCAGTTCGCTCAAGGTATGTGTAAATCTGAGTATTTTGCACATTGGCGTATACGTTTATATGTGTAAGGTCGTAATTCACTGAGCTGAATATTAAGATCCGTATTTCCTGGTGATGTGTTGAGTCCGAGGCCAGCTGATCAGAGGCCTCATTTGTAACTTTTGATTTTTAGGTCACATTGGCTTGTGAACAGTAGTACATTCCTTTTTGGGAAAAGGACACCTAAACAAGGAGCTACATTAAAGAACTTTAAGTGGTTCTTTCCCATTTCCCGTTCACACACTTGAAGAATAACTGGGAGTAGGGTTTCAAGTCCTCTCTGTGGGTCCTGGGAAGCCCATTAACAACCTCCGACTAGATGTGGACTCAGCTTGCTCATTTCAGGTTAGTTGATCCAGCAGCCTTGAAATATCCACTGTTGTTCAAAGATTATTTGGGTGTGTGTTTTTCCCCTCTTCTTTCTGGCAAGCCCAGAACTGCCTGTCCTACTTTTCTTTAATTCAGGGGCTCTCTTCCCAGCCTTGAAGGCTGCAGCTAACTTACTGGGTGCTGGGCTGGCCATTCCCCTCGCTGGCCCTTTGAGATGTCATCAGCTCGTTATTAATAGCTGATGTACCTCAGAGGTACAGTGCACCCATGGAGACCCTCCCCCTGTATTACTTGTAGCTACTAGTGCGTTTGTCTTCCTGCCGCACATATACACACATCAGTACTCAGAGCCTCTTCTCTGGAAGGAGGCCTGTATTTCAGATGGCATCTTGCAGTCTACTACTTTCTGGATTTTTCTCTCAATTCTTCTTTGTACTGCCAAAATGAACTAGATATTGCTGCTCTCCTTATGTAAAAATTGTGATTTCCCTCCTCCTTACTAATTTTGCTCATAATGCTTTGTTCTCCCAGAAAGTCCTTTCTTATTTCCACATTTCTAAATCCTTAACAACAAAACAGCTCTAACATCATTTCCACAAAGCCCCTCTTTTATCTAGGAAAAAAAAACTTTCTGAACTCTCTTAGCACTTAACATAGACCTCCCTTAGAGATTTTTTTTTTTTTAGCTATTGTGTGGACCTACTTATTTCTACATTATGAGCTACCCATGACTTATGTCTGTTTTCCCCATAATGTACCATGGTGATAATAACCTAGTGAATGAATGAATGATTTTCCTAGTTTTTTTGAAAGTTCAGGATCTAACAATTTGAGGATGAAAAGATACTTCCAAAGGTTAAGTTTATTTCTCTTCCACTAGAGAGACTTTGGTTAGTGACCAGCCATATCAGTCTCTTGGGGGAGCCAGAGGTTCCGTCCAGGGAGGAGTCATGTACTAAGTGACAGAATCCCTGGAGTGCTATGCCACCAGACGATTCCAGGAGAGGAAAAGCTTCCCCACAGCGGCCACGTACCTGTGCGAAGTACTCCTCAGAGATCCTCCCGGCCCATTCGATGCACAGGTCCAGGGGGCGGCACGGGTTGGCCACATCGGCACACTTAATCATCATGCGCTTGATCAGGATTTGGTTCTCAGGAAAGTTCTTCCCAATAGGGTTACATTCACAGTCGCTGCCCTCAACCTGGAAAACATTGCCAGATGAGGGTTGGTTCAAGATGATGATGAATCCACCAGGGCTAACTGACCAGACATTAGATGGCCTCACTAGGGCACACTGAGGCATGACAGTGACTCAGAGAAGGCAGTTTTTCCATCAGTGATTTTATATATAATACTGATATATCCTTGTTAACCCTCAAGCAACATAAAAACTTAGGAGTTTACAAGGTCAATGCTCCTGTCAACACCCACCTAATACCTCACTTCCATCCTCTTCCCAGAGGGGACTGCTATACGCAGTTTTGTTGTTTCGTTTTTAGTAATTTGGCTTGTAATCTTAAAGGGGAAGAGCTTTTCTCCCAGTTTTATCAGAAAATGTGTAAAAGCAAAACTTTGTTTTTTAACACATTAAAGATGGGGGAATAACACATACTTGTGACCCTTCAATTATTTCTTCATTTATTTCTAGTTATACCTGCCAGCTCCCTCTCTCCTGTGACCTTCTCTCTCACTCCTACTCACCCACCTCTTCCTACTTTGTTTTTTTCTCTTAGTGGATGTGTCTACGTATGCTTTCCTGGCTGCTCTTCTGACTGGGTAGGACGGAGTGTGAACCATATAAGCTTTGGGGTTTCTAGGAGCAAAAGTTGGGCAGGGTAGGAACAGGTATGTTCAGCACGTTTAAAAAGACTGGTCATACATGTCAGTGGTTATGAACTAAGCAGCCAGGTCCGTGAGTAGGCTTACATGAATGCAACAACACACCTGTTTTATGCAAAGTCTGGAAGATTGATTGCTATTCTCTACCTTCAAAGACACCATTGAATTGATTGTGTGAAAACAGTTAATTAGCTCTCCAGAGCTCTGCCAAGCTGAAAGACAACATGACATTTAAGGGTTTGTTTGTATTGTTTTGAGACTGGGCCCATTTAGTAGGCCATCAATGGGCAGAATTATGTTCTGAAGGTTATTGTTTTGATTACTTACCATTGGGAAGATACCGCTTACAATAGTTACTTCAATAAGTAATAAATCTTACTTGGATAGATGACCTTCCCAACACTAAATTCTATGATTCTCTATAATTTTCTCTCCTAAATCCCCAGATCCTTCCCCACCCCCATAAGTCCTCTGTGGAAGGAGAGGCCCTGGCAGTGTGCTGTGGAACCCCTGGGAGATGGGACACAGGTGAGGTGGACACCGTCCCTCCATCCCGGCTGGTTCTGTGATGGGGTCCTACACAGGTAGTCTCCTTACTGATCATCCAGTTACTTTTAAGACGTCCACACTCTATCCACATATGCAACCTCTCCCGCTCAACAGGAGTGAGCAAAAAGCTTTTCTAACTTTATGGGCTATGAACAGCTTCATGGTTTCAGAGGGCAGTTTATCTCATTTTAAACAAGAGATGTGAACTTTCTATCCATGTTCCCCAATCTCAAGTTTATAGGGACTTAAACACAGGTCCAAGGTACATCAGTAAATTTTAGAGGAAAAACAACTTAGGCTTTTGTTTGCAACTAGTCACTCCCAATCAGTACCAATAGTCTTTAGGTACTGATATGCTTTTAATGCAAACCAGCAGGAATACAGATCTTTAAAACACCTGACATTGAGGTCTAACAGCTCAAAGAACAGAATCAGAAAGGGCATGGATCTCTTAAATAGCACCGTTTATGCTGGTGTGCTGCTGGCAGGCTCCTTCCATCCTATTCTTTGGGTCTACCTCCTTTTGTCACCACTGGTTTTATCCAGGGCCTTTCCTTCAAGGAGCTCGGAATTGCTGTGGACACTGTCAATCTATTCTTGACCCCGAGGAAAACAAGTGGCCAGTACTTTCAGCTCTTTCTTACCAACTTCAAGCAAATAACCACCTTGCATCCGAGAGAGAGAAAATGCTTTGAGGCCAGAGTAGGCTCTAATAGAAATATACTCTGATGTATCTTATTACATGAGAAATGCTTACCTCAGCTGCCATTGGCTTGTTGATGCTGTTCACAAATTTGTTCACATGTTCAAAGTGTTTTGTCATCTCTGTTGCTAAAACCATGTCAATAATAGCCTGGCGCAGTGTTCGATAATGGTTCCTAAAATAACCAGAAGACAGAGAGCCCTGTTCACATCATGTCCCGAATTAGAACTATTCTGCTACGGTTTCACCTCACTTCCCACAATCTAGGAGGGAGCTGGGCACAGAGTTAAGAAATGACTGCAAATCACAAAATAGTTCACCTGCTCATCTTCCCATGAAACCAGGACTTGTTGACACTTCCATTTTCCCCAATGATAGTTGACCCTCATATGATTTGGGAATATATATATACCTGTCACATGGTAGACACCTATTTTACAAGGTAATTCCTTTGTACCTTCTCTTGGCAACATCAAAACAGTGAGGTCGAGGTGGAAGGAAATGACAAGTTCTTCCCTACAAGGCTGGTACAGCACCTGATGAGCTGCCCTACGGCATGCAATGCAGACATCATGATTCTTAGCATAGAGCAGTGGTTCTCAACCTTCTGGCCCTTTAAATACAGTTCCTCATGTTGTGACCCAACCATAAAATTATTTTCGTTGCTACTTCATAACTGTAATGTTGCTACTGTTATGAATCGTAATGTAAATATCTGATATGCAGGATGGTCTTAGGCGACCCCTGTGAAAGGGTCGTTCGACCGCCAAAGGGGTCGTGATCCACAGGTTGAGAACTGCTGGCATAGAGAATGGTTAGTGGGCTTTGGTCCAGTCCAAAACGTCCACACTTCAGAAATGTCCCTGGATTCAAACAGCCCATACATGTTTTATTGGTCTAATAATTGTGTACTGGCTGTACTGCCAATAATGACCTTTCTTGCACCAGTAGCCTAGCTGGTCATGACACATAGGGTTAGGTAGATGGGTTGGGGTTCGAATATTACAGGAGAGCAGGATCTATATTAGCTATTCGCATTGTGGACAGGACCAAGTTTCAAGGACCTTTTGGTGAGGATCACATATCACCGTGAATGTCTTGGACAGGACCAAATGCCCTGCAAGACTGAATTGTTATTTATTTCTGTGATGGCATTTTAAGAAGGTTTTCTCATTAATAAGTAATCCTCTAAATTACAATTAGAAGTTACAATGGATGGAGCAGCAGTCTTGTCCCAAATTACTGTCCAGTTCCTTTCATCTCACAGCTGAATAAAATTGGCTATTGGAAAGAATTCTTTCTGTGAAAGTTTTAAAAACAACCCTTGAGACTGATGAGTGGGCTTGAGGCCTAAGTGAGCTCTGTGCTCTCTGTACACTGCCCTCTCTCAGGAGCCTGCTCCCCAGCCTGGCTGGTGTTCTGTGAGAAATAAACAGAGCCTGACTGCAGGGTTGTGGCAGGCAGGAGAAATTGCTCCCATCTGTTCACACTTGGCCAACTCTCCCCAGAAGAGAGGACAACAATTAGGGGGAAACCTGTCCAGTGCTTGGGCTCCAGCAGCCCTGCTGGGACCTGTAGATACTGTCTCCTCATGAGTTAGGATTTTAAGTGGCCAAAAATTGAGCTGGGGAAAGACAGGGAAGGATACATTTTCCTTGAGTTACACAAAAGACAGATGTCCTCCTGCAAGAGTAAAAATATCTATTATAGTTATTAGTACTGTAGTCAGTATTCATAGAGTTGCTCTGTATAAAACATTTTCATGAACTCACTGAAGACCAAATGAGATTTAAAAAGATGAAAGAAGCCTGAAAAGAACAGTTGTTTATAAGGGCAAGGTTATTATTTTACTGTCCGACACAATGGTACAAAGTATTCTCACTTCCCCTTCTCCTTCCAGTGGTTCTCAACCTTCCTAATGCCGCGGCCCTTTAATACAGTTCCTCATGTTGTGACCCAACCATAAAATTATTTTCGTTGCTACTTCATAACTGTAATTTTGCTACTGTTATGAATCGTAATGTAAATATCTGATATGCTATATGTGTTTTCCGATGGTCGCGACCCACAGGTTGAGAACCGCTGCAAGAGGAAGCTAAATACTTGCAGAAGTTAGGGAAGCTGAGTATCCTACTTACACTTCACAAGCCTGAGCGTAGGAGCCCAAGTACAACCGACCTGTCAATGTTCTTGAAGATGTTGCATTTGCTGTCCTTGACTGTCAGCTGGAAGGCCAGGGCTGTGTGGTGACTCTCCAAGACGGCCGTGTCATTGTAAAGCACAGCAAGTTCACTGCCTGCGTTGCAGAGGAAAGAGTTGGTTCTTCCTGGGTGGTCCACGTCATGGACTGTGGCAGCAATTAGCGCTGCCACCTCATCCAGCTGGTCCAGACTTCCCTGGGGTGAGGGGAGGCAACGTTGAGCATTACCTACTGGATGTAGGAGACTTTTACTCATCCTTGTCTCTTGGGTGGGGCAGACTTGGGGAGTTGGGATTATAAAAATGTTCTCCCCAGTCCACTAAGCCTTCTCTGACTTCCTCGAAGCTGAGAGGCTGTCTAGCACACATTGCATCACCTTGCTGTGCTGTGAATTATCTGGAGGGATAAAATGGATACCTAATTCTCCTCCCAGCCCAGAATCCAGGAAGAAGCCAAACAGGCCTTTTCAATGCCTGCCATGTGGTATTGCCATGATTCTCTCCCAGGAATGGCAGAGCAAAAAGTGGCCTATAACTCCTGAGGTGAAACAGAGCATCATTGAAGGGTAGTGAATGAGAAGAAAGCGATCCCCAAGATGAGGCTGGAGGGGTGGGCATATTTGCTATTCCCAAGTTGCTCTCATAGGCTGTGGGAGGAAAAACTAATACTAACAGGTAAGGAATAATGGGTCTGAAGCTCAGACTTGAAAGCTTTTTTGAAGCTCTCCCCACCGGAAGGGAGCCATTTCCATTTCCAATCCTGATCTGGAGGTAGTGGGCAATCCTGGCTTGGCCCCAGTCCACACAAGCAGGTTTCCTGAGCAGGGACAGCAGTCCACGCTACTCTGTTCAGCTCTTCTCAGAGAGTGATTCTGTAATGCTCAGAGCAAGCAAACATGGCCCCATTTTGCTGCTGGTCAGGAAAGGCCATGGTCACCTGTAGGTGCAGGCATGACCCAGAGCTGCCCCCACATGGGCTCCACTCTGACTGATTCTACCTGTGCAGTGGGACCCATGGGTCCTCAGCTAGTGCTCCTGGAGTAGGTTCAATCTTGCTTAGAATCTAGGGCTAATTTTAAAATGCTTCAATGAAATAGATTCATGGAACTGGAGTAGACAACACAAAAAGCATCAGATGAGACGTGCCTTTTCTTCCAGCTTATGCTGACCTAGACCTGGTACTTTTACAAAGGTACCAATAGGAGGCCATGCCCTGCAGTATTGGTGGGCACTGTCTAATCATGCAATGTCTGATAAGAAATGGGGGAGACAGGGAAGGCAATCTGGGCCTGCTCACGAGCATGTGGGAGAAGCAAGGTCCTTCCTAGGGGAGGAGGACTGTCTGCGGGAGAAAACTTCCCCACCGAACTCTGGGAGGCACAGACATTTCTGCATATTTTACCCCTTTGACTAGAATTTTAGCCTTGCCGAAACCGGTTTGGCTCAGTGGATAGAGCGTCGACCTGCGGACTGAAAGGTCCCAGGTTCGATTCCGGTCAAGGGCATGTACCTGGGTTGTGGGCACATCCCCAGTAGGAGATGTGCAGGAGGCAGCTGATCGATGTTTCTCTCTCATCGATGTTTCTAACTCTCTATCTCTCTCCCTTCCTCTCTGTAAAAAATCAATAAAATATATAAAAAAAAAAAAAGAATTTTAGCCTTAATGTATACAGAAACTAGGAGTAACATGACATGGGAATTTGGTAAAAACATTTTTTCCTGACTCTTCATCAGTGGCAGCAGGTCTGGTGGAAGAGGCCTCAGGGATAAATCTCACTTGAAGTTCCTCACATGGACTAACCAGTGGGCTGCTGACTCAGCTTCTGCACTCAGGAGCCCCTTCGAGCCCAATTCTCCAAGGTTCCTAAATTCTGATTCTCTGGCATGGGTGACAGAGTGGGAAAATGTCTTTTGAATTGTAAGAGTATTACTAGTCTTAGACTTGTTTCTATTGCTATTTGAGAAATTCAACTAGAGTCTGAATGCATTAGCAGAACTCTCAATGTAAACAAAAATTCTTATTTTAGGGGAGGGAGATAATAAAGTGACTAAGCATTCCCTAATTTATCAAGCATTTAATCTGTATTTTTCTAGAGTGGTTCTGCTTAAGTGAGGTTCCTCTTTAACTCAAGACTGCAGTAGCTATAGATCACTTGGTTTTGGAGTTATGCCTTAGCCCTGTCCTCAGTTGGCAGTGGGGACCTCAGCTGTACAATATCCATGCGGTGTAAAACTGAGAACGAGAACCTGGAGTGGGAATCTGGAGGTGTCTCAGCTCCTCAAAGGCGCTATGGAAACACAGGCCCATATCACCTCCGATCACACGTTTAGAGTTTCTAAAGTAGGAGACAAAATCTTCAAAAGCTTCATTCTTGAAACACATTCTTTACGTTCTTGCTGATGAAAGTGAATACCAGCATTTGGCAAAATAGAAAAAAATACCCCTGTCTCCATTTTGGTGCCATTCCTGTTCCCTCTACCTGTCTCACTACCATGCTTTTCCTTAAGTACCAGGCCTTTAAGCTTATATATATCTATATATAATGTCAGGCATTTGCAGATTGATACGAATTTCAGTCTCTATACAGCACTTCTACCAGGGGTATCTACAGTCTAAGCTTCAGTTTTAGCAAAGGAATTACAAGTTTCATTGTGCCAATGGTGATAGGAAGGGGGGAAGATGGGGATTTCTTGCCAGCTATACATGGGGTGTACATATGGCTACCCTACACATCAGCACCTGTACATGACAGTATTGGTTTCTAAGTAAGACAAGGGGACATGGAACTCTGTCAGAATTACACACAGTTATTAATATAAGATATATATAATCATTCCTACACAACACACACATATGTATGCAAATGTGCAGTGCTGAAAGAACTCATCACTATCTGGATTATAATTTACCAATGGCCAAATTCTGATCCTAAAACTTAACCACTAGACCTAGTAACCATTTGCTATAATAATTAAATTTTGTCCTCTAAGTAAGTACCACAAAGTAAACACTTGGAGAATGGGTTCATAGATCAGCTAGGCCTTTAGAGGACTCGATAGTGGCATAAATAGTTATTATAGGCATTTGGGGTAGGGGAGGGCTAGGAGAAAACGCTATGTCTTTATAACACCAAATGACCAATTTTGTAGCAAAAGAAAAAAAAAATTGTCTAGGTAGGTAACTAGATCATGATATCAAAGTTCTACCTTCACTCTCTCCTTTCCCAGGAAGAAGGCGGTGGCGTGCAGGACATCCGCGGCATGGGTGGAGTTGTGGTAAGCATTGGAGGAGTGGTAGTTGGCTTCAATCACTTGGAGCCAGGCCCGAAGAGTAGTTTCAGAACAGCGTAAAAATTCACATACTCCAAACCGGGAAAAGACCTTTAAGCCCAAGTAAACCAATGGCCTGGAAAACAGGAAGACAAACCCTGATTCATTGTATTCACTGGTCCAGAAACTGCTTGCGTTGATGATGCTGAGGAATGGAGGCATTTTTCTTTTGATGCTTATTACACATGCATCGGGGCGTAAACACATCTCCTCCTCACTGGCCACTTCTTGCAACTAGGTGCCTCAACAGTGGTCAATCTGAATGACTTGCAGATTATCTCTAAGTCATAAACTCTTCAGTGGATCTGACAGCCAAGAAAGGCCCCTGGTAGTACCTCCCCATCTCCACTTCCACATCAGCTCTGTACTTCCTTTGTGTCCCCTGAGGCAGTTACTGAGCCTAAGAACAAGAGGAATGGCTTGTGTGGTCTCAGCAAAGTTCTAGAAGTTCTATCGAAGTTCTATCGTATGTTAATTATTTACAGGTGCGAGGCATTCACATCCTACTAGACTAACACCCCTGGAGGAAATATCCCCCTACTATAGAAGAGGACTTTGAGTCATCTAACCCTTGCCCTGCCTATAGGACAAATAAAAAGAAAAGTCTCCAGTACCCTCAAACTCATTTTGTAAGGTGGGGCTTCAACAAGTCTGGGGCTGAGAATACTTGGAGCTCTTACCTCATTAGCACAAAGGAATGACCTGCGTAGATGTGAAAAGGACTCAGCATTTCCTCATCCTGGGTCATCACCAGGCTGATCCCACACCTCACCCACTAATTCTCTCCATAAAGGAGCTCAGTCAGGGGCCATGGTCTCTGCTCTGCGATACCCCTCCAGCACAGCACGAAAGGAACAGCCTCTCTGCAAGGGCTCATGTCTCGCTCAAAGTTTCCAACGTGGAGTCTTGAGCTTGGCCATCAGTCTTCTCTGCCAGCAGCCAGAGAAGCTACATACCTTTTATGCGTAACAGCTTCCAACTCAAAAATGTTGAACTCCCAACTTTCCTCATTATCAAGTAATTGAGCGATACAAGGGGGGACATCATTGATGGTTATTGGCATTGCAAGATGACTGTGACTCTGGTGCACATCTGAGCAAACAGATTGGGGGGGGGGAAGAGGGTTAATTGTGGAATCCTGGGTGCCCTTGAGCATCTGTCATCTTCATCTGCTACTATAAAGAGAAAGTCTTGAACTCTGAGGGTGGGAGGATGTTCACTTCAGGGCTCTTCTCTTACATTACTAAATTCCAAGGCCCCCAAACAGAAAAACAATTCATTTTAACAGTCTGTTTAAACATATAGAAATGTCCAATCCTTATTCTGACAGTGTTCAGATAAGTAATTTTAATTATGAGACCTGGTATCAAATGTAGAACATAGAAATGCTTAAACTGCAATGAGACCAATAGGAAGTAACACCAAGATTCTCCCCTGACCAAATAATCACAACACTGGGACTGCACAGGCTAGAGACAGGTTATAAGTAACAAATGGTTCTATGGCAACTTACTCTTAGTGAACACATACTCGTTTCCTGACAACCTTCTCAGGCCATCCTGGAATAAAGCAAGGTGCTATTAGAAGCATGTTGTATATGCCGGCATTATTTTCTCATTTCTTTTATTAGCCAAAGAGATTTGAATAATGAGTAACCCAGTCAATCTGGAACTCCCAAGTTCCCAAGTTGAAGCTCAAAACTAAATCAGAACAATAGCTACAAGACACAGGATATTCTCCCTTCATGGCTCTTAGCCTCAGGAGGTGGAGAATTGAGAATAAAATGGAAATGACTGCATTCTGTCTCACACCTGGGCTGTGAGTTGGCTCTATTCTCATGCCATCTTTCTTTTTGAAGGCACATTTGTGAAATCACGGAAGTGAACTTGCTTTGGTTTGGATGCATGTGATTTTGAAGGGACCCTCCTTACTCTCATAGGGACTGTGTTATCTGATTTACTTATTAGGGAGCCAAAGCCATGGGCCACATTTGGGAATTCCTTAATGTAAAGCCTTAAAAAGCTTGAGCTAATTTTTGACTAATATCTGAATTAATTTTTTCCAACTGCATTTTCTATTTAGCAACATGAGCATTGTTGCTAACTTTTAAAAGTTTCTAGATTGAGATCTTTGGAGGGACAGCATAGGGCAGTGATGGCGAACCTTTTGAGCTCGGCATATCAGCATTTTGAAAAACCCTAACTTAACTCTGGTGCCGTGTCACATATAGAAATTTTTTGATATTTGCAACCATAGTAAAACAAAGACTTATATTTTTGATATTTATTTTATATATTTAAATGCCATTTAACAAAGAAAAATCAACCAAAAAAATGAGTTCACGTGTCATAGGTTCGCCATCACTGGCATAGGGAGTGGGCAGGATTCCAATGTTTGGCCTTTACTAGGCTCCTGGGCTTGAACTAGTTCCAGATGTTCTTGCATCTCAGTTTCCTTCCCTTCATCTTCTACCCGAGTACCTAATTTTTTAGCTTCTTTATATTTGTTTGTATAATTTATAATTGTTTGTCATCCCTAGAAAGTGTGTGCTAAGGTTTAAAATGTCAATGAAGGGCTCCCCTGAAGTCACACCTTGGATCTTTAGGCCAAGAGTTTAATTTTTTACAAATGAATAAAAGAGAAGTTACAATGGCCCCTCCTCTAAGACAAATATCACAGGGGACTCCTCTGTTTCTTCTTTGCCTTTCTTTCTCTTCTTCCCTAATGCTTCATAAAAAGAGGTGGAATCCTGCACTGGTTCCTCACAGCATTACCTGGAGAGGAACCCTAAGATGGTATGGCAGCAGTGGGAATCCTTTGGATTTGAACTGTAGGGGCCACCCTCCTGAAAGACCCTGGCTGCCCTCTCTAACTGAAGTCTGCTCTGCACTGGGATGGGGCAACAAAGGCCAGCCCTGGGGCAGGGAAGTAGTAATTAGGAGATTGCTCAGATTGCAGGCTCATCAGAGATTTTTAGTTGGAACAAGAAGAATGGGTCAGAAAGCTAGTCAATGCTCAGCCTTTAAAAATAAAACTCATAGATGACCCTTGGACTTTGTTTTTCTCCCAAAGGATTCTTCTAGCTCCCACCTCTGATAAGGAGCACAGATGAATAATTTGAATTTTCTTCACTTGCTGATAGATGATGATTATGGCCAAATAGATCACAGCAAAACAGGATGAGTCTTTTGAAATCAGCTACTATGGTGGTGGTGTGCTGGCAGGGGAGGCTCCTCCCCTCCCCACCAAGCCAGAGCAGCTTCCTCTGCTCTATCCGATTACAGAGGGAACTTCTATAGAAGCTTTTATTGAAAGAAATGGTTCTACAGCTAAGATTTTGGAAACTAGTGCTGTAGTCTAAGTACAAACCCTTTCATTTACATAGATAAAGAGCCTGAGATCCAAGGAGACTGGCCATAACCTCAACTGAATACTGTGCCAGGTCAAGGGAAGAAAGACAAGGGCCATGCATATCAACCAACTGCCTAGGATCGCCTTTGTATAACAGGAATGCTGAAGGACTGTCTCCCCTGCTATGGTCAGTCAGCTTTGCAAAGCTCCTATGGAAAGATAAATGCAAGATTCCTTAACTAATGCCAACCACAGAAATTTTGATGCAGATGCGCCTGGTTTGTCCATACAACAGGTAAAAGTACTCTGCAAGTATAGGTAACAATACATGCTGCATGTAGTCTGAGCACATTAATCTCTGGTTTATCCTCATCACTCACAGTCATCAGGCCTCCAACGAGATCACTGGTGTGAGGATCTTCGTCTTTGGTGCCCAGCTGAGGGGAGTACAGTTCTGTGGTCCGTAAAATTTCTAAAACTCTGTCCAAGGCTTCTGCTACTGTAACAGGGCTGTTTTCTTGGGCTGCATTAATTATATTTATAACCTAAGGAAGTAAGGAAAGAAAAAATTTGAGGTCATTAGGATTCTACTTCCCATATACCTGGAATCCAAAAGAAATCAGATGATGACACATTGTTTTGAGTGACTGGTGCCTCCACGCCACCACTCCCTTCTTATTGAGGAATGCTGCTCACCCCACCCCTTTTGGCATCTCTCCCACCTCACTGACTACATTTCTGCAGGCTCCTTTGCTGGACGTTCTCCTCCAGCTCCCTTACAGGGTGGAGTTCCTTAGGGGTTGATGCTGGGCCTTTCTCTCACTCTACAGGCCTCCAGAGATGAGCTCTCATTTCCATGACTTTGGGACACATCATCCGTATGCGAAGGGCTCTCAAATTTACATCCCAGCTCTGAACTCTTTTTGATCTTTAGACTTGTGTATTCAATTGCCTACCTGACATATCCATGGGAGTATCTTACATGTCCAAAACCAAACTCATTCTCCTCTCCCCAAAGCAAGCAAGTAACAAACAAACAAAAAAGAAGAAGAAAGACACGGAGCTTTGCTCCATTCTCTGGCTTCCACACTGCAGTAGAAAACCACTCCTGTCCATCCTGTGCTCAAAGTAAAAGTCTGAGAGGCTCTGGTTTCCATATCATGCCCCTTAACCTCCCCACCCTGACAATATAATTAATCACCAAGTCAAACTGATTCTACCCCTAAATATTCCCTAATCTTATAATCCTAGCACAGCTAATACCATCTCTTGCCTGAAATTCTGGAAAAGCCCCCTAACTGGCTGCTTTTCTTCCACGCTTGCCATCTCCAATCCATTCTCTGCGTATCTGATCATGTCACTCCCTGCTTTAAACTCTTCAGTGGTTCCCACTGCACCAAAACGAAAATATAAACTCCTTATGGCCCAGCTGGCCAGAATGAACAGCCCTGCCAAGCTCCACGTCACCATCGCCTCCCTCCGCTCTCCAGCTCCAGCCACTTGACTTTCCTTCAGGTCCTCAACCGCTCTGGTCCCCCTTCTCACGCCAGGCTTCACCCTTTGCTGTGTCTGCTGCCTCGAATCCTCTTCTCCCCTCTCGTCTTCTGTGTCTTTGCATGCCTCAGGTCTCACGTCAAACATCACTTCCTCTACAGACAGACCCTTCCTGATCACCCCTCTCACCACCCAAAATAGGGCCCTAATCTAATTTCCTCTTAAATTGTTTTCCTTTACAGCAACTTTTGTAGTTTATAACTATATTTATTTATTGTGTTTAATATCTATTTTTTCTACTAGCCTGTAAACTCTATGATATCGTGGTATGTCATTCATTTTATCTGCAAAACAGCCCAGTGCTGGGTGACCCTGACTGTAGAGGCAGCAGCTGCCACTCACCTTTGTGATGGGGGCCTCAATGGTCATGGAATGGATCCTTGCCATGGATGGATAGCGACGGTTCTGCAGGCTTGGCGCTGGGGAGAAGTCAAGAAAGTTGTGTCTGGTGTTGGTGCTCAGCTTGGCTGAGTGCAGCAAAGAAGCCCATCCTGAACTAGGGGCCTGGCTCTCAAAGGACTACTGTCCCCCATAAAGCAATGAATTCATCCATCTCTTAATCCTGAAAGGGTAAGAGCATGGCCACTACTTGGAAAGGATGGTCTGGCCTGGAACTTTGGTGGCAGGAAGGCCTATGAGTCCCAGCTCACAAGGGGAATTTTAGAGGAGGTTGATGGGATCTGGACCCCACCCCAAGAGCTGAATGATCCCACAGGACTCACTTCCCTGTAAGTCACCAAAGCCCATCTGGGCAGTTCCATCACTTTCAGTCCTTAGCCACTGGCCATGTAACTGGATAACTGTGCAGTGTGGGAGGGGAGGCATGGCCCAGGTTTGGTGTGTAAATGGAAAGGCAAGTGACGGGGGAGAGAACGAGCGACTTCAGTATGAATTAGGCACTCCACATCTCTGAGCCTTTAGGTTCTTAATACCCAGAATCCCTGGTGGTTCTACCTCTAATCTGTAGAAACTTACATTTTAAAATATTTTACTTTTTTGAATAGGTAATTCTTACATGTGGTTCAAAATTCAAAAAGTAGAAGCTTTACTTTAAAAGCACTGTTCTCATTTTCCTACCACTCCTCTGAGAGACAGAATCTGTATGTGATCGCTGGGATCACCTAATCTAGCCAATACCAACAGAGCAGCCTGCTGCTCAGACCCCTGTGGTCCTCTCTGCGGCCAGAGCAGCCACATTGCACACCCTGCAACCTCCATTCCCACGCTCTGTAGAGAAGACAATCGCAACTCAAACCCTACTAAAAACTGAGTTCATCTAGTTGAAATTCCTTCATTCATTATCCTTTCCATCTACAATGTTGTATATCTACACCCTCAATCCGTCTGAAAATACTTCAGTCCACCTTCCTTACATTCTTGGCCCCAACCCCTTGCATGCCCTGTGATGTATCCGTCTTTCTCTATGAGTTATCCATCTCATCTTTAGTTCTAGTCCAGCCACTTCCCTCAGACTCAGCTTTCCCATTGTGACCTGAAGAACTGAAAGTCCCTCACTTGCCTTTTCATTTACCCCCTTAAGTTACCACCCCACTTCTCTCCCTTCTATCTGTCCCTCACCGTCCCCTCCTCATACCTCTAGAACGTGTCCTCATTTGCTAAATAAACATGAACTGAATGAGAGTTCTCAGCTCGTGAACTCTCTGATCTCTGCAGCACTCACACGGCTAGCATCTCCTTTCTTCCATTTTCCTCTGCTCTTGGTTCACGTGACACTGTGTCCATACGGTTCACTCCCAGCTCTCCTGTTCTCTGCACTGGCCCTATTTCTCTTGTCTCCCTCTCACTGAGGGTGTACTTTCAAGTCTTGAACTCAGTTCTTCTGTTTTGTTGTGCGCACATACACACACCTTAGAAATGTTCCTCTGCTCATGACTCTTCATCTGTCCCCTCTAGGACTCCCCAATTCATATCTCTAGCCCCGAGTAGAAGTTTTGCATTTTAGCTTCTTTGGCATTTCCACTAAAATAAAACTTATCTTCTCCTCAACCCCCACCTAGCCATACATGGAGACTTTGTTTCTGTATATATTACTTCTATCTTCTCAGGCACATAGGAATTACATTTCAGAACCATCTCTGACTTTCCCATCCGCCTGCAAATCCAATGAATTAATTAGGCCTGACTGAACTAAAAATGTCTCAGTTTATCTGGGACAGTTTATTAAGGGACAGTAAGGATGTATAACAGGTACACTGAAAACTGGGTTTGCAGTAGAGTTGGGAAGCCAAGATTCTGGTCCCCTCTCTGCCACTAGCACCCATGTGTGACCCAGCCACAGAAACTGAGCTGCTCTGGTGGTTATGGTCCAGCACACCTTAGGCCATCAAGGATCAAGCACCGAGTCATTTCAAAGAAAAGATAAAGACTGTAAAAAGAAAAAAATGATTAAAAGGCCTAAAAAGTCTACTGCCTATGGGGAAGAAGCCAGTTTTGCTGACTTTCTATTCCTTGGGGTTTGTTTATATGCTGAGGAATTCTTTTATATATTCTTCTGTCACTTTCTATGCTTTAAAAAGGTCAAGAAAATCTGAAAAACTTCTTACCATCACTGCCTCGAGATGATATCGATTTCACATCAACGGACTCCCTCCTCCTGCTCTTGTATCTGAATGAATGAGACTCTAAGGATTTCAGATGAGTAAGGGGAGTGGTTAGTTACCAGCTTATTCACAGGTGAAGTCTGGACACATTTCCCTGTCATTCTCCAAAGAAAATCAAGGTCACTTCTTAAGCACTATAAAATACTTTTAAGAAATAGGAAACCATTTTTTCTTCAAATTTTCACCACACACAGAATTTTCCACCATATTAGTTGTAGAACGATGCCTGTCCTTGTGGCATCACATTACGTCATGGAAATGGGCTCATGATCAATGGTTCTTTTGTCCCACTAATAACTCTTTTTTAAAATAAACATTAAAACTTAGGGGAAGTTTTGGGGAGTTCATTCTGATCTGAAGTACAAATACATTTAACTGGATAGGGAAGGTTCTTATTTGAGGAAATAAATACTAGTGAAATCAACAGAGTTGATTTTTCTTGGGACTCTAATTTAGACCAACTGTAAGCCTTTTTTTCTGAAAAGTTGAGCCCCTGGATCAGTGGTTCTCAACCTTCTGGCCCTTTAAATACAGTTCCTCATGTTGTGACCCAACCATAAAATCATTTTCGTTGCTACTTCATAACTGTAATGTTGCTACTGTTATGAATCGTAATGTAAATATCTGATATGCAGGATGGTCTTAGGCGACCCCTGTGAAAGGGTCGTTTGACCGCCAAAGGGGTCTCGACCCACAGGTTGAGAACCACTGCTCTAGATTGTCTTCTATGTTCTTCTAAGGATGTGATTTCATCAAGTGATGCAAACTGCCAATCCCAGGAAGGAAGAGAAGAAAAAGAAGTTTTATTTGCAAAAACTAAACTCTCACTTTTGTCCCCATTTTCTGGGGCGGGGGGAGGGAGGGAGGGCGGGCAGGGAAAGCACTTAAAATTCTACATAAGTCTTTACAGACTTTGAATTCAACACTCAAAATGTGTTGTTCCATTACTGCAAGATCTAAGGCAGCAGTGAGGACCGGGGATAAAAACGCCAGGGCTGCAGAGGTGGCTGCAGAAACATGCATGGTCAGGGTGTATGCTTCCGGTGGGGACCACGCATGAGCAAGGAGAGAAACTCAACTCTCACAGACCTCCACTGCACTGAGACGGGAGGCAGACATGCAGCTTCCAGCATTTCTCAGACCCAATAAATGATATTTCAAGAGAGAAAAAAAGAAATGCTTTTTTTTTTTAAAGAACTGTCTAGTGGCACAAAGAGAGAGAGAGAGAGAGAGAGAGAGGAGAAAGAGTGAGAGGGAGAGAGAGAGAGAGAGAGAGAGAGAGAGAGAGAGAGAGAGAAAGGGGGGGGAGAGAGAGAGAGAGAGAGAGAGAGAGAGAGAGAGAGAGAGAGGTGTAAGAGAGTGTAGTAGTTCAGAGGACCAGCTCCAGAGCCAAATTGGCAAAATTCAAGTCCCCACTATCCAACCAGTAGCTGTGTAACCCTGGGGGTGTTCCTCCCGTGTCCCGATCTGTGTAGTGAGGACAGTTACGGCATCTCGTTCATAGGCTGCTGTAAACAAGCTAATCCACGACGGCACTTGGGGCAGTGCCTGCGAAGTGTTAGTTCATGCTGGCTATTATTCACCTGTCCACTTGCACATACCCCTTCTTAGGCACACACGGGCCATGTTATAACGCTGTTCTCATACTGGCTGTTTTCACGTCATAATATGCCTTAGACACTTTCCTAGATCACCTTTTTAACCATTTACTTTAGTGTCCTAAAAAATCTGATTCAACTAAAAATGGTTAAATCAGTAACTAAACCTGAATTATATTTTTACAGCATGTAGTGAAAAGCAGAATATTATAAAATTAATCTGCACACCATAGCCTTAAATGATCTAACATAAAACATTTACTATCCCTTTGCCTATTTCTGTCTTCCAGACTCTGCCTTAATTTTTCTAGCCTTGAATATGAGTTTCGGTATTTCTTTATAAAGACAATAATAGGTGGTGGCATTTTAAATAATACTATTAAAATCATATGGCGTCTTTCGAACCCTCAGAAACTAACTGATCACTTGCAAGACATTCGTTTTTAGCCTATTCAGGGACTTACTAATCATACATTCCTAACATTTGTTTAGCTGATAATAATTAAATTGAACTTAGTGAAGGTTTAAGATTAAATTCAAGATTAAAGAGCATAAGAATTCCTCAAAATAAAAGTAAAGTAGGAGGTTAGTTTCACAGCTATTGGCCCAGGTTGCCTTGTTGAATCCTAAATCATTTATCAGAAATTATTCAAAGACAGATAATGCTTATTTTTCCTAATTTATCTCAGCTAAAATTAAGAGAAATTATAGCAATAGAAATTTGAAGTTTGAGAAATTATCCTTTAGTATTGGCTATTTAAACACAAGAATTTGGTATTCATTCTCTCAACAGATACTTGTGGAATGAATTTCAAAAATTCAGAAAAAAGAAGAATAAAGAACTTTTAGATAGCTGTACTCAATGGCAAAAGAGATACAGTATCATCAATTTTAAAAATAGCTACCATGTACTGAGCACCTACTGTGCATCAGAGATGGTCACTGCAAAGGATATGAGAATGCGTGTAACAGATTTTGGCACCCAGAAGCCCTTAAGTGAGTTAAAATAATACTCTTGCTGTAAGTGTTAGAAGGAATAAACTAAAACATCTGAAAGAGAAGAGCTGAGAAAGAGAAGGGAAAGGTAGGGGAGGAGAGAAGGATGCTAAGTAGTTAAACACCAGGCACTGATAGATATAATGTACATTTCCCCCCTCTAATCCTCATAACAACCAGATGAACACTGTTAATTCACTTTGCAAATAAAGAAACCAAAGTTCAGGAAGAGCACATGAAGTCTTCCTGAGTAGGCTAAAGTATGGTCCACCCTGGAACCAAAGAGAGGGACCCAACAACAGCCCAGGGCCTGACCTGATGGGTTAGTGGCTGGGAAGCTGCTAACGCAGTGGTTCTCAACCTTCCCAATGCCGTGACCCTTTAATACAGTTCCTCATGTTGTGGTGACCCCCAACCATAAAATTATTTTCGTAGCTACTCCATAACTGTAATTTTGCTACTGTTATGAATCATAATGTAAATATCTGATATGCAGGATGCATTTTCATTGTTACAAATTGAACATAATTAAAGCATAGTGATTAATCACAAAAACAATATGTAATTATATATGTGTTTTCCGGTGGTCTTAGGCGACCCCTGTGAAAGGGTCATTCGACCCCCAAAGGGGTCGAGACCTACAGGTGAGAACCGCTGCGCTAATGGGAGAGAAGGTGTGCAAGAACAAGAATTTTAAATCTTTGGTAGTAGACGCACTTTTCCCTCTAGTCAGAGAATTCCAGACCTTTCAAATGTAAAAGTCATCATTTTATAGCTGAGGAAACCAAGGTCAAGTAGGCAGAGTCTTGCCCAAGTTATGAGGCGAGGGAATGGGAAGCTGAGCTGGTGGGCAGGGCTCCTGATGCCCAGGCCAGGGCCCATCCATGTTCTAACTGTACAGCCACTGACGCTGCTAAGCAAGGGAGGACTGTGATAGTGTGACAACAGCACACCCCCTGGACTTTCGGGCCACTCTCCCATTCTAGGTCTATCCGTATGATGGTCTCTCGCCAGCAAAAGAAAACCAGGAAGGGGTGGCAGTGGGTAGAAAAGGTTGCCATGAATGGATATTCAAAAAACTCCCAGGGATTCTACTTCTGTTCTGGCTTTGCAACCCTCTGGTAGCTTGAGCAATTCAGAGTCTGTTTCAGACTTGACCCCACACATGCTGCCTGGGTGTAAAAGAGTGAAACTGAATATTCTCACCTGTCTGAGAATTGTCTCCTGAATCTCGATGAATCTTGTGAATCTAAAGTTGTTCGAAAGTTTGGTAAATAAAACAAGAGAAAGAGATTTAAAATACAGCATGAGCTATATTTCCAGCCAAATAATTTCATTAAAAAGCTCTGAAGACTTCAAGAGAGCAAGAAGTTGCACAGATAACATGAACAGATGCAAGCTGTGCACCAAGTAGTACTATTACAAATGCTGTTACGTCCAGACACTCATGGGATGCTGAGCCCAGAGCAGGAGAGGCTCGGAGCCCACACTTCCTAAGCAGGACCTCTGACCCGCCAGAAAGCTCTTCTCATCCTGACAGTCTGCAGAAATGCAGAAAGAAAAAAAGCCAGAGCAAAAATGTAAGACTTTCATAAGGCTAATATATAACCTGCTTGTAATTCATACTTATTATAAAATTTTCTGTAATATAAAAATAATACCAATGTAAGCCTAGGACTTCTAAAAGCCTTCCTAGAAAGTTCTTCAAGTGCTTGGTTACAGGCAGGATCAATTTACAAATGTTTCATCACAAGGAGAGCTGAACTTTAGATGCAGTTTAGCACCTGGTTCTTCCTCATTATCAAATTTTTCTGTGCTGGTGGTTTTGTGCTAATGCTCAATCAGTGTCATATGATGGATGCAGTAATCAGCACAGGAAAGAATACATTTGCTTTCTTTGGGGTTCTGCATTTCGTGTGTTTATAACTGAGACTCTGTTACTGGGGCACATTGAGCTCTATCACTTATAATCAAGCTGCTTTTTCCTGCTGAATCCATCTACTGCTAGTAGAGCTCAGACCAGCTAACATCTGTAGCCACTAATGAACAGGGTACGTTAACTCGGAAAACAAGACAGGTGCGTGTGTAGGGCTGTCTAGGAAGGACGATTAGGGTGGTTTAACAACAACCGTCAGAGCCAGAAGTCCCCTGTGTGTCACATACAGGTAAAATGTCCCAGCTGGATGGAACCACGGAAAAATAATCATGGGAAACTGAAGTGTTAAGATAGGGGATTTCTATGAATTATTCTGCACAGCCTATTCCACATAATCACCGAAACAATTGCATGGCCAGCCTGTGTGAGATCTTAATGTGACTAAGGGCTGTGACTCATTTATCCCCTAATTACGGGACCATTTTATTTCTTCTGTGAATAGCTGCTCTGTTTTTCCTTTACAGATAGAAACCATTTGCTACAAAGCTATTGAGTGCAGTGTGACTTTTTGATCTGTAACAAATGAATACAACTTTTGCCTTGCAAATTGTTTATCAGCTGTAGTTCAGAAGCAAGTGATCTTTAAACACTTAGCTTTTCTCTCTGAATCACTGTACATCTCTCCTTTAGAAACAAAGTCCCATGGCTCCCCAGATTACACAAAAAAAAACCTTCTCCTGGACTTCATTGGCCCCCATAGGCCAACTGACTGCACTGTGGGGCTCCGGGGAGTCACCGTGGGCTTTATGTTCTGCCCAGATGGAAACAGAGGAAGCCCAAGGCCCAGTATGCACAATCCAACCCTGCCTTTGGGATGAAAATGAACCCTGTCCCCCACACCCGAGGGGTGGGGATGAGAATAGAGGAAAAAGCGGAGGGAAGAGGAGAGATACCATGTCCATCTGTGGAGGAGGCTCTGGTTTTCCTGCGCTTAGGATTCTGCATTTGGCACTTTCGGAGCTGAACACAGCACTCACGCCAACCCCATCACCCCCCGAATTGGCTCATCTGCCACTGACGGGCTCTCTCCTGCAGACAGCAGAGACTAGAAACACTCCTCGACCGCCCAGCCGCCCAACCTTCACTTGCTTCCCTAGAGCAGCCGGTGGCTGTCTCAGCCATCGGCAGCCCAGGACCCCATGGCATGACTCACTCTGATCCCTTAGCAAGAGCAGCCCGGGGACCTTCCCGGTCACACCCAGCTTCCCGAGGAAGGTTATTTATACATCTCCTATATACACCCCCTTTAACAGCTCAAGATTCATTTAGACGAAAAAGTTCTTTTATAATTAAATGCTTTTTTCTTGGAAGTCTAAACCCATGAGTCATTTACAACTTGGCATGAATGATTCTGATATAGTAGGCAGTTAGACAGACAGGAGCAGAGAAGGAATGATAGGCCAGGTCAGAAGGTCACCCAGGTGGAAAGCCTAGCAATGGGCAAAGCTGGGAATGCAAGCATTGTAGGGTGGGACCTTTCCTCCCCTAGCATATCTTTGATCATGTGGTTTAGACCCCCTGACCTTTCATGTCACTGGTCATGCAGTTCGGACCCTCCCCTGGCCTGTGGCTAGTCCCGTGGGAGGCCCTCAGAGGAGGAACAAGGCCAGAGAAGAGTCTCCCAGGACTTCCCGGCGGGACCACTCCCTTAAGGATGAAGCCCTCGGGAAAATGAGGTTCTGACCCACATCAAATGATCTTAGAAACAAGGCCACAGAGAGGTTAGGTTAAACTAGGGATAACATCTAGGCCTGTTTCAGAAAAGCAACAAACCAGATGAAGCTGGTCCATCTGGCTGTCATCAGGACCAGCTGCATTGACTAATGACCTCCTGCCCTGGTGCCCACCAACTGGTGGAGACCACGCCCTGAAAGGACATCCGGAAAGCTGATGGATATTCTTTGGGCATCCTCCCCTGAGATCTCCCCTAAAACCGCACATTTAGGAAACAGATGAACCCCTTACAATGAAGGACCCAGCATTGGCGCTGGCTGCTCAAAGCACATCTGCACCTTTCTTTCCCCCGTTCTCCCTTAAGGTGAGCGCCTTTGCTTTCTCTCTCCCAAGTTCCAAGGCCCCTTCTTTTGCCTCTGCAACTTGCTCCCTGAGTCCCTGCAGCCCAGCTGGCCCACTTTTTCTAGGGCTCACTTCTACCTCTGTGACTTTCTAAATAAACTTCTGCTTGTATTTGAGTCTTGGCTCTGAATCCTTCCTTAGCCAAAACTCAAGGACCAAGGTCTAACATCTGGTGCTGTTTGCCGTGAACAATTCCACTGAAGTTATTTCCCTGTAATTCTCAGTCAAGCTCACTGAGGAAACAGGGGAGGAGCGGTTTTGTAGTTGGCATTCCTGATGGGCAGCCTGGGGCACCGCGTGGGCCTTAGGACTGTGGGCAGGAAGACAGGCCATCTCTGAGAGGACTGCCGTGTGTAGCGGCTTTACATCCCCAACCTCCCGTTACAGCACTCACGGGAGGGGAGGATCACCCCTCCTCTGACAGAGAGAGAAACTCAGGTTTTGAGAGAGGAAGGGACTTGCCTGAGCGCACAGTGAGTATGCGCAGAGCCCCATTCAAACCCAGCTTCCTCCAGCTCTAAAACCGGTTCCTCTCTCTACAGTGAGACCAGAGGTAAGTCCCAGGCCACGCCTGTGAAACTGGGGTGTGAGGACAATATCCCCTGGGTCAGTGCAGGGCATCTGTTTGAAATATTTTTTTGTTTTCAAATTTTGGGGAAGGTCTGAATCTCTGCTATCAATAGGTTTTGTTACCTGAATTCTAAAGCATAGCAAAACAATCAGAATTCAATGTCCCCATGTCAGCCAGTCTCTGGAGTGCAGTGTTTTTGTTATTTTTCCTGAAGCGTAGAATATCCCACGTATGGTAATAGCTGGGGATCTTTAATACTGGGAACTTTGGTAATAGAGGGAAGTTCTGCGATTTGAACGCTATCGCCCTTGGCCTATGCTGCCCTCAAAGCAAGTCCTTAGAAGCTTCCAGCTTGTTTTTGGAAAGGAAATTCATAGCTTTACACCTTTAACTACTTACAATACCGCAGGTTCCTACAAGTGTTGCTATCCTTGTGCTGCATGCTTTGTTTATAAACACGTGACAATGCTTGGCTCTAAAAAGCACTTCAAATTCTGTGCGCGCGCGCCTGCGTGCGACCTCAGGGCCATCTGACTGCTTTCTTCTTAGAGAATAATCATTTAAACTTTATATTTTCTCTACACATCTACCAGAATGTCTAAAACTGAAAGGAAAGTTTGTCAAGGACGTGAAACAACTGGAGGGAGAATGAAGTGCCACAACCATTATGAAAAAAGGTCTGGCAGTTTCTTATAAAGTTAAACATAGACCTACCCTAGGACCCAACTCCTCAGTACTCAGGTCCACTCCTGAGAATTTACCCAAGATAAACAAGAGCATGTGATCACAAAACACTTTTCTACTAATGTCCAAAGGAGCCCCAAACTGGAAAGAGCCCAGAAGTCCATCAACAAGAGAGAGAAACTGGTAGATTGATGCAATGGAATCCCATTCAGCAACAAAAGGGGAAAATTACTGATACATGCAACGGGGATGACTCAAAACATGACAACGATGAACAGAAGAAATAAAATTAAAACAGACTCATAGACACACAGAGAGAGCAGGTGGCTGCCAGAGGGGAGGGTGTGTGGGGGTGGGGATGAAAGAATGGGGATGAAGGGAGTAAGAAGTAAGGTTGGTAGTTAACAGTCATGGGCACGTATGTAAAGCATAGGGAATATAGTCAATAATGTTGTGATAACTATGTATGGTGCCAGTTGGGATACTGGAAATATTGAGCGAACTCTATGTAAAGTATATGACTGTCGAACCACAAAGTGTACACCTGAAACCAATACAAAATAAAATTGAAAGAAAAAAACCCCAAAACACTACGATGAGTGAACGAAGCCAAACACGAGAGAGTAGACACTGTATAAAGCTCTAGTATAGGCAAAACTACTATATGGTTAAATAACTCAGGACGGTGTTACCTGTGAGGGTGAGTGGAGGCAGGGAGAACTGGGACCTTTTGGGATGCTAAAGTTTAATATCTTACGGGGTCTGATTACAGAGGTATACACATTTGTCGAAATTCAAGGAATGCTATACTTAAAATGTGTACATTTCACTGTACGTAACTTTTACCTAAAAAAGGAAAGAACCCAAAAAACAACTATTAAACTCTAGTTAATAATATGCATGCTAAAATACCAAAGAATAAAATGTCCTCATGTTTGCAACCTAGTTTGAAATCTATCAAAGAATAAGATGGACTGATGGA